CGCAGCAGGCAACGAAACCACTGTGCTAAACCCCTGGCCCCCACCATATATTTTGATCACCCCTTGTAAACAAAAGTAGAGAGAACAGCAGGTACTACCAACCAGCTTCAATAATTAACACATTTCCTATCTTAATTTATTTGCCTATATACCCAACTACCACCTGCCGCAAAGCATAGGTATCACAATTATTTTTTCCCTTGAGTAAACACAAATTGTAAACATACCATCCAACTGATACTTTAATATGCATCTCTAAGAACTTTAAAAACATAGTAGCAGTTTGACATACAAAAGCATTTGGCAAAATTTTGCTTCCATTCGCAAACTCCACATCAGGTGACAAACATGACCACAGCCAGCTTCTCTACACAAACACAAACGCAGCCATCTTCTCCAAAATCGTAAAGAATTTAAACCAAATTCCAGACATATTTTCTTCATATGTAGTTTGATATATAAAACATCCTTTCATACTTTGATTCAGAATTCAAACTAGGCCTCACACTGCACTTACTTATGTCTCTGATTATTCTATAAACATCTCCTCAAACCCCCTACACACATATTTTTTGAGCATTTGACCTGAAGTGACCTCACATTCCAGATTAGGTAAATTACTTCCTCATGATATGATATTTCTTGCCATTTTCCATAGTTTTTAAATTGGTAATTAGCTGTATAAACTTGATTAAATTCAGGTCAAATTTTAGACGTAAATTCTTCATAGGGAATGTTCTATATTTCCTATGGGACCATATCATGAAGTATATGAAGGCTATTTGCCCTGTTTTCAATGATGTCAAGACTGATCATTTCAGTAGATGTCAGCCTGGTCCCCCAACTATAAAATTCAGCTCTGATCTAATGGCTTCAGCACCCACTGAAAATGAGATCAATTATATGATTATGGATTGCAGAACAATAATTTCCTAACTGCATTATTTCTTTGACTGTATAAATTGAAATGTTTCCACAAATAAGAACTTGATGACATCAACATCTGGTTACTATGAAATATATGTTTTGGTTTTTTTTTTCCTGCTTGTTTGTGGTGGTACTGGGGATTGAACCAGGGCCTTGTTTGTGCTAGGCAAGCACTCTACCAGTGAGCTACACCCCCAGCCACTATGAAATGGAGTATTTTCTTTTATCAATTTCCAAAGTAATGAGATGGTACAACCTCTAGTGATTTTAGTAAATTATAAACACATTCAGGCCAGGGATTTAGCTCAGTGGTTCCTCCAGCCTCGCAAGCGGAAGGACTTGAGTTCAATCCCTGGTACCAAAAATAAATAAATAAATAAATAAATAAATAAATACCCATTTATATATTTGGTAGTTTAAGTCTATTGTAGTTATTACTTTAGATGTGAAAATTATCCCATCTTACTTTAAGGGAAGCATCTTTAAATTGGAATGTTGTATTTTTAAAAGAAGAAAATGATGAGTTAACTTCAATCCAGATTTGATAGGAGGCAGATCACTGGAGTGACTAATAGCATCAAGAAATAAATCCATGAACTCACAATTTATTAAGAAGATGGAGCCAGTACTGATAGATCTTCTGGCCACACTGAGAAAAATTACTTTGGGATTTTTTGCCAGCTAAACTGTATCACACATCTTCTCCATTCTCTGGAATCTTTTAAAGAAACATCCTCCCTGTCAACTCTTCTTCCCTGTTCAGTCCTACAGCTCCACAGGTTTTACAGAAATTTCTCAATATCTTTTAAATAAGAAAAATAATTCAGCCACTCAAAGAAGCATTTTCCTCCTCTTTTGGCCATAAAAACATGGATTCTTATCATCTGACTAGTGGTCTGTTCAGTGGCAGCTCATGGAATCAAAGACAAAGCACAGGGGGATGTCTTAAGGCAGCTTCCTGTACCAGGCCATCATTCTATGAGCTACTTATTATCTTCCTTATATCAGAGGACCTAGAAAAATCAATGTATGCAAGTATTTTGTAAAGCTCATCATCTCAAAGTGGGTAAAAGAGCAAGTGGGATGCTTTCTGTGCTATTTGATTCTTTAGGAATCCAGAAACACACTACTTTTGAAGTAGTATTTTCCATTCCATTGACTTCTTACATGCAGTATAGTGTCCAACTGTCACGGATGCATAATGACTAGATAAGGTCACACATATAAGGATTTGTTCCAGGACACAGATAATTCATATATATTCAGAGCTCTTATGGGAAATTCCACGACATGTTAAGTTTATCTCTCCAGAATTGTTGTTCAATAAACCAGGACCACAGGGAACTACCACATGCAAAACTTCCTTGTGACTTGTTGGTATTTACATTTGGAAAAAGGTCCCTTAAGCATAAGAGCTCAATATAACTCCTACAGTGTCACTGTAGCTTTCTTCTTCTGAGGATTCAGAGTATTTACATGATTCTCATAAACTTTAGAATTCTGCTTCATGCTAATAAAGACTCTACACTTCTTTACCCTCAAGAATACCAATTATGGATCAGGAAGTGGTTTAAGAATTTTCAGTCAGTTCCATGTAAATTTATGTCAGTTGTTTCACAGGTAATCATGTTGCTGAGGTGAAATGCCTCTTCAGGAAAGAATGGCATTTGATTTTCTTTAGGCCCTAACCAGGTCAGACAAGTCCTCCCCATAGTCTTCTGATTTTAAATTAGTACATTACCTTTCTCCCAATGCTCTTTCTTCTACTTCACAGATGCCCTTGACTTGGAGGATGAGTGCCAGAATCAACAGACAAAGACTCCTTATATAGTAGGTGGTATGTTCACTAACAGTTCGATGTAAGTAATTAAAGGTCAGTCAATACTTTGGGGGAGAGACTAGCAGTGGCTGACTGAGTAGCAAGGAAATACTCGGATAAAATGCTCAGTTGGTGTGACGGCTGATTGATTTTGTCAACTTGAGAAGTTTAAATCGGCTCAGCAATTCCATCCCCTAATGAGTGGAGGACCTAGATGGTATAAATGGGAAATGAGGAAGGATGAGTCTGCTTCTGTTTCTTCCAAAGAGCTTCAGTCTTCACCTTCAGCTTGGACGTCACCTCCTGGCTTCCAGCACAGACTCTTTGGCTTCTGGCGCAGAGCCTTCAGCCTTCTGGCGTAAACACTACAGCTTTTTACTGCAGATCCATCAGTCTCCTGATACAGACTCGCAAGGGACACTGCAGTGAGCTCCACACCTTCTACTAAATCCTTTGGTTTCCAGTGCACAGACAGACCCTCTGGACTCTTCCTCATTCTACTCTGTGGGTGGCCATTGTAAGTCAATCTTATAACACAAGATATACAAATACATATGAATTTACATCTGCTTCTCTAGTAAATACTGACTGATACAGTTGCCTAATTTTCTCTCGAAAGGACAAAAGAGTGACAAATTTAGAGTTAATACAGTGGTACTGCAGACCTTGTTTGTGAAGAAAACCATCCCAAAACATGACACTGACTGGTCCTTTAAGTTTTGTGGAACTTATGTGTATACACATATGCAGCTTCCCTATTTCTGGAGCAATTCCAAAGAGTTTAGGAAGAACTTCACACATTTCAAACATAGTTCCATCACTGGCACAGAATCACAGAAGATACCAGATGTATCCTCAGGGGTGAGTCTACAGACATCAACAAGGTCTCCATAGTTATGTCTTTCTTCAAGGATAGTGGGAAAAGTAAATATGAATGAGAGCCAAATATCAAAGGAATCTTACCACATCTTGAACAAAGAAAAATGGATATGAAAAGATCATGGAAAATACAGGCTTCTTTTGCCACACATCTGGCAACATTCAGATTCAAATAGGGCTGTTTCTTCCGTTGGTTCAGATCTTAGTGAAATTCATTTAGGTAAGATAGCCCCTGAGAATCTATTGCTGGAGGCCAGAAACCTGCTAAGCAAAATGTCTCACCTGGTTTTCAAACATGTATGGGATCATGTAAATAATCCTCTCATAACTACTGAGCCTCTACATTTACCCTCTGATCCCCAGTAATGTGTCCATTGACTTCAGTCCCACAGGCAACTTCCAGAAGTCAGTCAGTGATGCCTAAGCTCTGTGAAAAGCATGGAACAAGCATTTCTTGGGTCTCTAAGCCCACAGGCTATGTACAAGACAAACAATATTCCCAACAACTTAAAAGAAAAATCGGAGTCCCTTCATCAGCCTGAACCATGTCTTCCTTTTGAGGCTCAATTATAAGCACTTGGCTCTGGTAGGACTCAGGGTGCCAGATTATATTGTCTGGCTTGCTCAGGTGCTCGGAGGTGTTGCTCGTATACCTATTTCAGACCCAAATCTCATACTCAGCAGGGATGCTACAAAGATTCCATCTCCTCAATAGCTTCTATACTGTCTGCTTTGCTGAAATGGCAACTCAGCACACTGGTGAGTGGCTGTTCTAGAATGCTTCAATTAAAACAAATACATCCCCACACCATAGTGCTTGACAAACAGCAAAGGTTGTTGTTTTAATGGCTTTGTTGGCCTTTTACATAACTACCAATTTAGCAACATATTCAAGAACTCTATGTAACTAATGTAAACTAATGTAGTATAACTCAACAATTTAAATGTTATCTTAAGGCTTGACTTAGGATTTGAGGATTCCAGGGCTACCTACTAGGCCAGAAATAGGCTATGCATATTCACATTGTATATTATTGAAGTGTTGAAGCCCACCTATTGCTTCACTGCCAAACCATGGGTTATTAAGCAAATACCACTGCACTCCCTTGGCCCCAGGTATGTGTATCACCAAGGCCCAAGTTTGAAATTCTGGACCTCTACTGCCAGCTCTGCTTTCTACAGATAGATACCTAGATATCCATTTCAACATGCTATGCTTTCACATGACCAGGTTCTGCTGACTGTTAGGATCAAAAGGATCTTTTAGAGCTTCCTTGAATTATAGAACAAGATGTTCTAGGCTCATCTTTTTTATACCCTCAAAATCTGAAACCATTTATTTCGCTAAGGAACCACGCACGGGTCCCTTATGAGAAAACAGTATTTAATCTGGATGCTACAACTAGTTATTGGTACTGAGCTGTCACTGTTTCTAGATCCTGTCAGTGTTTATACTAAACTTAATAAAAATCCGAAGAATAAAAAGCAACTTACAGGCAAAGGAAATAGTTTCCCATTTACTTTTATACAGAGACTATTGGGATAGTTATCTTCTTGAGGACAACTTGTCTCTGCCAGGCAAAGTCTGTATTAGAAAAAAGAAAAAGTATTAAATACTATAACCAAACATGATACGTGTTTTAAAATTCAGGTGTATATGAACAGTTAACAAGTATTTAATTTCAGTAACTAAATTTTAAACTCACCTTAGCTGAACTTGAACTGTATAATCTCTCCGACCACCTGGCAAAAAGTCCCTGTTGAAAAGAGAAATAAAATGTGTTAACAATGCCCAGTAAGATTTTACAGAACACTCTCACCAGGAAAAAAGGCATTATTTATATTTTTATTCTTACTCCTTAAAAGACGAACACTTGCCTACCAATAGCACAAGGCCTTTTCAAAACACTACAATGATAATAACCCCCATTTACTTAACTTTTAAGTCATGTTTTTATGGTCATTTTAAAGTATTTTCAATTCCTAAGAATTATGCTAATACAGTATTTATTTCAACAGACAACAGACTGGGTTAACATGAAAAGGAGCATCCTAGGCTCTAAGGAAGTATAGTAAGTAAATCTGTATGGTTAGTGATTCTTCACTTTGGCTGAGCATTCTAATCACTTGGAGACTTCTCGTGTATTTGTTTAATATAAAGTTCCATTCACTAGATACATTTATTGGCTTGAGTACAGGGTGACAATAGACTGTATACCTAACTTAGGTGATTCAAATATAGAAACAGTGTATAGACTCATAAGTCTCAACATCTCTATCTCAGGCAGTTTCATAACTATGTCTCTAAGTACAGATAGAGAACCTCTTACAATTTCTGGAAGAAAAAGAGTTCCCCATAAAATACCTCTGATACCAAACCCTCCAAATCCTCCAAATGGAGTCCACAATAAAGCTGGCAATGTTAGTTTTTAGAAAAGCAAGCCCCATCTCAGACCTATACAACTGTAATTTGCATTTCAACAAGATCCCCAGGTAATATGTACACGTGTTACAGAATTATCCTTGGTCGTGATCTTGAATCTTGGGACATAAAGAGTAGTCTTGTCCTTTGAAACCTAAAGTAGTACACTAGCCTCACCTTGTTCTAACTGGACAGTCTACTCTTTCTTTCAACTCTTTTAAGTTCCCTCAAAGGCAGTCAGACAAAGCAGTGACCAGCTTAGGCTCTATAATCCCATACTATACGGCTTCATTCAACTTTTCTGTGCCTTTTTTTTAATCTCTGTTAAAAATGGAACAGTACTGCATCTACCGTATCAAGTTGTGGTGGTAATTAAACAGGTTAATAATACAAGTAAAATGCCTGGGTTTAAGATATAATCAACAAGTGTGAGTAGCTGGCTATTATTACTGTTTCCTCTGCTCCTACTGTTTTCCTTGCCACAGTCCACTCTTGTCAAGAGTCACTTCAAAACGTTCCAGTATCTAGACAATACTGACCTCTTCTGAGCAACCCATACATACACTCCACTCATTTAAATCAAGAAACATTTCAATTTTGGCACTGGTGCTTCAAACATAAATAAAACATAATATTTACTTCAAAGGACTCATCATAGTACTTAACAGTTAACACACAACCAAAATAAAAATGTGTGGAAAAAAAAATGTGGTCAATGCTACAGAGGGAGAGAGGGGATTAATTTTGTCTTTAGAGTTCAAGGGAGCTATTACAATAAATTCAATCAAATTAAAAAGCAAGGTTTGTATAGCAGTAATTTCGTCTATTTCTCTTTAGTGGCTCTCACAGTACAGTGATTTTTCAAGAAAAGGAGAGTGAGGATCAACTAGAGATCCACATCAAAATCTTCTCATGTTGTTGAAAGTAATTTGACAAAAGAGAAATGACATGAGATGGGCTTAGATAAAAAGCCTAGCCAGAATATAGGCTACTATAAAGAGTGATATGAAATAAATGATTGGGAAAAAAAAAAGATGGGCAAAGCAAAATGTTGAAAATAACTGCACATGTACTTCATGATTGGCACTACAGGATTTTTAGCATCAAAAAGAAAAAACAGAATGGGCTAGCCTAGACAACTTAGCAAAACCTGTCTCAAGAAATAAAAAGGGGAGGGCGGCTCAGTGGTAGAGTTATTTCCTAACATGCACCAAGCCCTAGGTTGGGGCGGGGGGTGGGGTGGAGGATGGGATGGGATGAGGGCTTGAAAGCTATTCAGACAGAAATATCACTGAGTGATATTTCAGCACAGAAACTTGCAGGATTCAATAACTAATGATATATGAGGAGCAAAGAACCAAAGGGGTGCTTCTAAGGTGGTGCCCAGGTATTGGAATTTTGTAGCTAGACAACTGTTGATACTACTCCCTGAAATAAAGGAAGGTACAACAAGTTACAGCATCAGTCTCCCAACCACCCAGGGAAGAGGAGACTTATTTCAATTCCACACGCTGGAAGTAAGATTTCATGACATTTAGTCACTTGCCAAGGGGCATATAGATCTAAGAGGTAGAGCCAAATTCTCTTTCCAGTTAGTATTATTCTTAGCAATCACACTAGCTCTCTTAAAGGTAGAGTTACACAGTCAAGTTGTAAACTACGAAAGTAAGAGAGAAGAATCAATGGACTACTGTAGCAAACTAACGGGATGTGGTCAATGAAGAGTGAGATAGTTTTAAGAAGTCTCTGTACAGTCAGACACCAGTGCCCTCACTGTAAATAGAGAGAATAGGAGGAAAAATAGCAAGCAAAAGATCTCGACAACAGCTTATTTTTCAAGTTTGCATCCTTGGTGTATGTAGTATTGTCCAGACTATAGCAGATAGTTTAAATACACACACACACACACACACACACACACACACACACAGCATACACATGCTGAATGAATAAATGAATGGAATAACAAAGGACAAGCAGGTTTAAGAGAAAGGTAACTTCAATTTTGCATGTGTTTGGTGTACTTATGGGTCATCAAAGTAAAAGCAAAAAGGACCCTGTCCAAAGGGAGGTGGTGGTGATTTTTTTTGGCCTTCAATATAAAAATAGACATATTCATGGATACTGCCACAAAGTAGCAAGTAAAGAATTACAAGTTGATTCCTGAGAATGTATAAGACAAGTCAATAGGAGGACTGAGAGAACAAATTAAAAATGCAGTTGTACCAAATGGAAGACAAAAGTGCTGAAGTAAAAAAGAGAGCTGAGAGCCACGGATTTAGCTCAGGGGTGCTGCAGCCTGCCTCACAAGCGCGAGGTCCCGAGTTCAATCCCTGGTACCAAAAAAAAAAAAAAAAAAAAAAAAAAAAGAGAGAGAGTTGAACCCAATGATTAATTTTCACAATATGTAACGAAGTAAAAAAGTTCAAAATCTATCCTAGATTTTACTGTTACAGAGAAAGGGCAAGAGCTGGATGCTTAGCAGTGTTTTAAAAATTTGCTGCACACTGGAAACACTCAACAATCTTTAAAAACCACTGATTTGAAATGTTCAGTAGTAGCAGAGTGCTAGCCTAGCATGTATGAGGTCCTGGGTTTGATGTTCAGGACTATATAGAAGGGAGGGAAGGAGGAACAGAGGAAGAAAGGCAAGAAAAGGAGAGGGGAAAAGTGGGCAGAGAGAACACTGATTTGAGGTTCCATCCTTGGAGATTCTAATTTAATTAGTATGGATGAAATCCGAGTATTTGGATTAGAATTTTTAAAAGCTCCTCAGCTGATTTTAAGATGCAGCAAAGTTTTTGAATCATGAGGATAGGCATAATTAAATGACACAAGAAATCACATAAATCCAGAATATTTAATATACTATAGTTGAAGGGAACCAGATCTCTATGGAGAAATGATCAATTCCAGAAAATATGTAAGATAACCTTAGAGAATCTTGTGCCAGAAAGTAAAGAAGTGCTCCAAAGTGAATTTGGGAGGGAAAGGACTATCAATAGGGCATAGGAGTCAATCTAAAAGAACCCCCAATAACTTAAAGTAGAACAATTTGACCCACAATGTAAATTCCTGTATCACTGGGTAACCTACAGAACACATGAATCCACACTGATGCACATACATAAGTGAACAAATAAAGAAGGGAGAAGGGACAATTCTTCCTTACAAAAGAATTGCACCAAAGTAAAAATAAGGACAACATCATCAGAATACAAATGTTTTGCTCATTTACCAGTGAATGCTGAACTGTTGGGCAAAAGTTTGAGAAGAAACAGATTTATGTGCCTAATCTAAAAGTGTGTGCTCCATGATGTTTAAAAAGAAAAAGGCATAGTACAGAAATACGCAGACAACACCTTAGCCAAATGATCATGGTTAGTATCACCAAAAAAAACCCCCCAAAAGACGTATCAATATTAATGGCTGACATGATACACTGAGAAGAACATTTTTGCAAAAAATGCACAGACATTCAAACACTAAACATAACCGAATTGAGTAGCAGTATACAAAACCCTTGATGACTACACTTTAAAATCTTCAAAAATCATAAAAGGAAAAATTAAGACACTGTGATTGAGTAAAAGGAAATAAAAATGATATTACAATTTATAGTACATAGTATAGTTAATAGGATTGCACTACTATTAGTTTCTTGGTTTTGATAACTGTATTACAGTTAATTCAAGCTGTTAAAGGAGCTAGACTAAGGGTATGTTTTTACAATTTATCTGTAAATCAAATCAATTCAAAATAGAAAGTTAAAACTTTAGGATACACTGAGGTCAAAAGTAACACACGGAGGCCAAGTGTGGTGGTGCTGTAATCCCAGCATTCAGGAGGCTGAGGCAGGATTATTGTGAGTTCAAGGCCAGCTTGGGCTACACAATGAGTTCAAGCCAGGTTGAAGGACATGGCGAGTTCCTGTCTCAAAAAACAAAGGGCTGGGGATTTAGTTCAGTGGTTCCGGCGCCTGCCTTGCAAGCACAAAGTCCCAAGTTCAATCCCTGGTATAAAAAAAAACAAAGGCAAAGCAAAAGAAAACAAAAGGTAACACACAAGCCTGGTATAAAAACTGAAATAAATGAGAAAATAAGGATATAGCTGAATATTATATTAAGGAACTATGAATTTCTAAGGGTTCATGTTAAAGATTAAAGTTGCGGACAGGGGATTTAGCTCAGTGGCACCGCACCTGCCTCGCAAGCACAAGGTCCTGAGTTTGATCCCCAGTACCAAAAAAAAAAGAGTTGTATCTTTAAGTATTTCTGGGTTAAATTATACAATGTCTATTATTTGCTTTAATATGCTTCGGGGAAAAAAAAAAGGCAGGGATATGAAATACAGAGGGTCAAAATGTTGGTAACTATTGTAGCTAGATAATGGACACCAAACTTTCATTTTCATTTATTACGAGGATTAGAAGGGAAGTTCTACCACTTGATCACATAACTCTAAAACAGTTGAAGTTTGTAATGCACATGTGTACAAAGGGAGCATTACCTTGCAGTTTTTAAAAATTTTATGTTTGGGTTAAGTATACATAAGATAAACTTTATTATTATAATCATTTTTAAGTGTTTAAGTCTGTGGAGTTAAGTACATTCATACTATTGCACATCCATCTCTACCATTTATCTCCAGAACATGATTATTTAAAAAAATTTAAATTTTGATAATTACTTGACTAGAAAATACATTCACATATTTTGAACTTCAAAAATATAAAAAAAGGATATCAAGTGAAGCGTCCCCATAACTTGGCTCCTAGAACCAAGTTCCCCTTTCTAGAAGCAGCTCATCTTTATATTTAATATATTTGTAGCTGAGTGTGGTGGCCATGCCTGTAATCCCAGCTAGTAGGGAGGTTAAGGCAGGAGGATCTCAAGTTCAAGACCAGTCTGAGCAACCTAATGAGAGATCCTGTCTGAAAATAAAATTAAAAAGGCTGGGGGGCCAGGGATTTAGCTCAGTGGTTCCGCCGCCTGCCTCGTAACCACAAGGACCAGAGTTTGATCCCTGGTGGCAAAAAAAAAAAAAAAAGGCTGGGATCCAGCTCAGCATAGAGCACTTGCCTAGCATAGGCCAGGCTCTGGGTTTAATCCACAGTATTGCAAAAAAGCAAACAGACAAGAAAACTTTACTCACATATTTATACACTTCAGCATATTCAGTGTGCACATGAATACCTTTATAAGACAATTGGTAGAATATTATTCACAATTCTGTCCCTCACTTCATTCCTTTTTCATTTTAAAAATGCTTCAAGTACATGTATCTAAATTTACTTACTTTAACCTCCTTCCTTCAAAAGCCTAACACAACACCCTAGTGCAGTCTGCCCAGACCACTGAAGTTAACAATGATCTCTCTCCTATAAAAATCAATTCATTTGTCATTAATAAATTGGCTCTCCATATAACATCTTGTAATCCAATTTATATAAATAAGCTGGTTCATTTAAAAATACTGTAAGCAACTTGTAGAAAGGGTTCATGCCATATAACAGTGCCATGTACCAAATAAACACTGAACAATCTCAAGCAAGAATTCATTGATGAAAAACAAAATTAAGGACAAATAATATGATTTGTTGGATATAAAATATAATTTTTTCCATTTTATTAGTTGGTTAAGTACTATCCCTAAAATAGCTACAAGCCAGTCTATGTATGTATGCACTATTTTTTTTTTTTGGGTACTGGGGATCAAACTTGGGACCTTGCACTTGCAAGGCAGGCACTGGAACCACTGAGCTAAATCCCTGGCCCATATATGCACTATTCTTTAAGCGCTCAAACTTCATAGGGTCATATTATAAAACTATTTTGAGATTTTTCCCGAGACCTATAATTTTAAGAAAAGATGTGATTAGCCAAAAAATCTAGTTATGTGTCAGAATCTTCTACATAATAGTGCATGTTCAAGATGTTAAGTGTTCAAAAAAATCGTGTGGTTCCTCAATCTGGATTCACTAACAGGAGATTGACAATGCACATCTACATATAAAAACTGATAAAATGTACCAATAAATGTTTTGCTTAAAAAAAAAACTGATAGTCTGGTTGTAAAGAACTTATTCAATTATGTACAGAAATTTCCCTAAATCAACCATAGTACCCTTATTTTTTAAAAAAGCTCTTACCATCTCAAAGGATTCTAATGAAACTAATTATTTAACTCTGTTAACTCTACAGCTCCAGAAAATCATTTAACCTATGAGAAACTGTTTCCATATGGTGAATCTTGTAAGGAGGCAATTTTAAAGAGCTATATAAATAATCTATTGGTATCACCAATTTGAAAAATTTGAAAAATCACCAATTTGAAAAAGCATACTCTACAAATTTCCTTTTCTATCTCTTAGTTCATTTGCTCTTTACAAACATAACAAAGTTTCTTCTATTTTTTTTCCCTAAAATTGACAAGGCTGACAGTATTTTTCATAATCAGATTTCTAATAATTTTTGGTCAGGGTAACTACACAATTCACTTTGTCCTAAATTGTTCTGGTTTTTGTTCTCCAAAAACAATTATTAATAATGTTCACTTACCTCTGAAAAAGGCTTGAGTTTGAATTGATAAAGTTTATGCCCACTTATCTTTGTGCTGTTATCATAAATTCTTTTTTTTTTTTTTAGTACCGGGGATTAAACTCGGGTCCTTGCACTTGCGCAGCAAGTGGTGAAACCACCGAGCTACGTCCCCGGCCCTTATCATAAATTCTTTGTTTCTATATTTAGAATAAATTTTTCATTTAAGACATCATTGCTTGGCTGAGGATATACCTTAGTGGTAAAGCACTTGCCTGGCATACACAAAGCACACAAGGCCCTGGTTTACCTCCAGCGATGAAAAAAAAAAAAAAAAAATACATACACACACATATTGCTACAAATGTGATTAAAATAATTTCAAAATATATTCTGAGGTTCTATTCAAAGGTTAAATTTTTCTAGTACACAGTACTAAAGAGAAATAGTCCAACTATTATGGACTGAACAAAATTTACTACATTGAAAACTTAACCTCCAATGTGACTGTATTTGGAAATAGGAACTTTAAAAAGGCAATTAAGATTAAATAAGGTTTAGGGTGGGTCCCTAATCCAACATAGCTGGTGTCATAAGAGGAAAAGACACCAAGGATTCACTGGCATAGAGGAAAGCCCACATGAAAAAACAGCAAAATGTGCAAGCCAAAGACAAAAGCCTCAGGAGAAAACAAATCTGTCACACTTTGATCTTGAACAGAAGCTTCTAGAATTTTGAGAAATAAATTTCTGATATGTAAGCCAACCTGTCCTTGGTTTTCTACTAATATACAACATTCATGCAGAAACATTCCAAACATTCCTCTTACCTTGATATGCATATCTCTCTAACCTGTTGAGGTGTCAAAGCAAAAATAAAAAACTTCTCTTGAAATCGTTGAATACTGCTTTGAACTGTAGAGGAAAAAGAAAGAATATTTCAATAACAAATCCAAGGATCTTAGCACTTGCAATAACTAGGTATTTTGATAAAAGTCTTCCAAACTCCAAAATGTTTGTGGTTAAAATATTCTAAAATCAAGAGGTACTAAACTGCATTCATCTTGGAATTATGAGTTAAGTCAACCCAAATGGGTATCTTGAATTTTAAGCATTTAGCCAATCTTTATTCTAAAACACTAATTATAAAACAATCAAAATGTACCAAAACCCTTCAAGATTACATTTCATCCTTTACAGTCCCATCTAATGAAAATTCCCTGGGTAAAAAGAACAGTTTATTGCAGCAATTATTCTCCAGGAAATGATACATAAAGTGGTTCACATTCTCAGAATACTTTTAAAAGGAAAGAAGAAAGGGCTGCCGTTTATTATGAAGGTTTAAAAAAGTTTTAGGTCACAAACTCAATTATAAGGTATAAAGCACAAAGATACAAGTATAGCAATATATTTCTCTACTTTGTCAAATTGCTATTCACTCCTCCATTTTTTCTTTCTTGTATGGATTTCACTGTCCAGTATCTATGCCTAAGGTCACCAATGACTTCACTGTTAAATACAATAACCGTATTTTGAGATTACATGTGAATATACTACATTTTCAATCTTTGTTAATGGCATAAGAATCCAGTTTCTACAGCTGAAAGTCTCAAAAAAAAAATAAACATGTACAAATGGAGTCCCAAAAGAAAAATAAAATGAAAATGGAATCCTTCTCCCAAAATCCCAACAACAAAAACACACTCGCAGGAGTAATTTTGGTTGAGCAGAGGGAATGATCAAACCTCAAGGAAAACAATATGAAAACTACCTATTGCATCAAAATTAAAACTACTAAAAATCAACAACTGTAAAATCTTAAAAGTAGCCAAAGAAAAACAAAACATTACAAATAAATGGCTATCTTGTCATCAAGAAGGAATGCTAGGCAAACTATGTCTTTAAAGTGGTGGGGCACACCTCTTAATCCCAGCACTCAGGAGGCTGAAGCAGGAGGATTGCCATGAGTTCGAGGCCAGGATGAGCTACACAATGAGTTCAAGGCTAGGCTGAACTGCATAGCAAGACCCTGTCTCCAAAAAAAAATTATAATAATAATAATAAAAAGGCTGGGGAAGTACCTCAGGGGGAGGGCCCTGGGTTTAATCCCTAGTACTGCAAAAAAAGAAAAAAGAAAAAGTGATGAAAGAAAAAATTGCCTACTGAAAATCTGGTATCTTTCAAAGAGTGAAGTAACTTCAGGTAAACAAAAACAATTCGTCAACAACAGACATGCATTACAAGAAACATAAAAGGAAATTAGATTTAAGACAAGACAGATTCTACTTTTTTTTTTTTTGAGACAGGGTCTTATTATGTAGTTCAGGCTGTCCTTAAACTCACTATGTAGCCCAGGCTGGCTTTGAACTTGCAGCATCCCCCTGCCTCAGCTTCCCAAAGTCCTGGGATTACAGCCATGCACCACCATCCTCGCTGATTCTACTTTATGAAAATCACTAACACTAAATGATAAATGAAAGATAATAAGCTGTTTTTTACTTACTTCAAAAAGATAACTGTAACTGTTCAAAGAAAAAGTAATGGCACTAGATGGCAGGACTTCAAACTGACAGACATAAAGATATGACAAGCGTCAAAAGGATAGAGGTAGATAAAAGGTAGTCAAATAAAATCAATCTGTCCAAGACCTCTGTTTCCTGCTTCATGGGTTAAGTTTGATTAAAATACATCTTTCCAAAAACAGATCTAACAAGGGCCAGTAATTTAGCTCAGTGGTTTCGCCGCCTGCTGCGCAAGCGCAAGGACGGGAGTTCGATCCCAAAAACAGCTAGTATTTACACCTGCAATCCTGGGCATAATAACCTGTGAATTCACCAGTATGAATGCCAGTATATATAAGTATAAATGCCAGAATAAATGTATAAATGCCAACATAAATATACATATATACACACACACATACATACACACACACTCTATATTTATACTTTTACACTGGCATTTACATAATCAGAAAACCAATTCTGTTGCATTTTGGGCATTCATCTCTAAAAGGTTCTCCATCACTGTTCTATTCTATTCCACTGAATCACATGCTTGTTTTTGTGCCTGTACCATGCTGTTTTAATCACAGTAGCTTTGTAGTAGAACTTCAAATCTGAGATTGTGATGTTTCCTGTTTTACTTTTGTTACTTAGGACTGCTTTTACTATTGAGTCTCTTCTGGTTCCATATGAACTTTAGGATAGTTTTCTCTAGATCTGTGAGAAATACCTTTGGTATTTTGATTTGGATTGTGTTAAATATATCAGTTTTGGAAGTATAGCCATTTTGATTATATTTGTTCTTACAATCCAGAAATAGGATATCTTGCCATTATCTCAAGTCCACTTCAATTTCCTTTTTCAGAATGGTATAAAACTTTCATTGTAGGCTATTTCATTGGTTAGGTTATTTCCTAAGTATTTTTCTTGATGCCATCGTGAATGGTATTGTTTTGCTAATTTCTTTCTTGGTGACTTTATCAGTGTATAGGAACATGATTGATTTTTGTGTTTATTTCATATCCTGCTACACTGCTAAATTTGGTTATTAATTCTAGAAGTCTCAGTGGGTCTTGTTAGTAGAGGATTATATCATCTGCTAATAATGATACTTTGACTGTGTCCTTTCCTATTCTGTATCTCTTTTATTTCTTTCTCTTCCCTGACTGCTCTGGTCAATATTTCAAGGACAATATTGAATAGGAGTGGTGATACTGGACACGCGTCTTGTTCCTGATTTTGGAAGGAAAGCCTTCCAGTTTTCCCGATTTAATAGGTTAGCAGTAGGTTGTTCATAAACGGCTTTTGATAAGATCCATCTACACCTATTTTCTTCAAGGTTTTTAATCATGAATGGATGTTAGACTCTGTCAAAGGCTTTTTCTGAGTCTACTGAGATGATCTTTTTCCTTGCTTCTATTTATGTGATGAATTACATTTATTGATTTGTGTATGTCGAATCCACATTACATACCTGGGATGAAGCCTACCTGGTTACAGTGTGTGATCTTTTTGATGATCTGTTGCATTCTGTTTGCCAGTATCTTGTTGAAAATTTTTGCATCTATGTTCATTAGGGAGATTGGCCTATAGTTCTCTTTTTCAGTTGGATCCTTGTCTGATTTGGGGATCAGGGTAATATTAGCTTCCAAGAATCATTTTGGGAGAAGTACTCCTTCCCTCTCAAGTTCATTAAACAATTTGAAGAATACTGGTGTTCTTACAGAATTCAGCAGTGAATTCATCAGGTCCTGGGCTTTTCTTGGTTGGTAGATTTTTTTATTACTGCTTCAATTTCATTGACTGTTACTAGATTTTTCAAGATTTTTAAGTCTTCTTGGTTCAGTTTTGGTAGTTTATATGTATCTAGCATCTCTCCATTTCTTCTGAGTTCTCCAAATTTTTTTGGTGTATGGTAACCCATCTTTAATAACTTGTTCCTTAATATATAGAATAACAAGTCATCACTATATTAATAACCACTGCAAAGACCATCTGAGGAGGTCAGAGTACTGAGTTGTCATAAAATAGTGATTTTAACACACTTCTGTCAGCTTAAACCACTGATGGTACATGCATAACTGTTCCATTGGGTGGCCTGTGGATCACTGGTAGCAGAAGTGGTACAGGTATGCATGGGACAGTCATAATGTATCACCAGAGGTTCAAGCATTGCAGCAATGAGACATATGAATAATGGCCCTGTCGTGAACACATAAATTCAGAATTATGAAAAAGTAAAATAGTTACTCACTACCAATCCTCCAAAATCATTCATTCTCTTTACTTCAGTCCTCTTTCCCCATATTCGCAGTCACTCAGGAAGTCCTGTTTTCTACAATCTTATCTACTATTTCCCTCTCCAGGCTAACTGCTACCACCCTACTCAAAGCCTATTATTACCTTCTACAAATGAAACAGCAGTCCTACCTCTCTGCCAGTCTCCATGAGAACACAAATGTGGAGTTAATCATCCTGAGCATCACTTCAATCACCATTCCTCTGCTCAAAAAGACTCAGTGTTCTTTTTCTGAATGAGCCAATTTCTTCACTACATAATCCTCCATTAATAAAGGTCTTACTACTTTTTCCTAACAAATCTACATTTCTCAAGTCTTGCCAGGTCTTACTCTATTCTAAGCAGATTCTTCACTGCTAAGTCTCACAATTAGCCACTGTAACTTCTACTTCTGTGTTGACTCATAGTTCTCCCCTTTCCTGGCACTTATCTAATAAAGTTCACCATCCAAAGTTGTCAAGTCACCATACAAGAAGCCCTGACTGAATTTCCCATTCATAAGAGCAATGTAGTATTTGAGCACAATTTATAGTACTTCATCTTACAAGCACATAACCACGTCTTGGTTTCTTCTAATATTAACATTTAACCACGTAATGTATTCCCCAAAGCCCATTTCATATTTGTTCTGACATCTCCACAATCAGACCACACAGACAAATCTAAATGAAGTATTCATTATATATTTGGCACTTGGGTTATTAAAATGACACATATAGAGTCTGAATTTATTCAACTTCTTGAGAAGGTTCTATTTTTGTGGCTTTAATATTAGTATCCATATCACTTTAAAACTGTTTAAACATACCCAGAAGCTTGATGAATACACCCTTGTATTCAGGTACTTAAGGATATAGAAAAAGAGTGATCCTCATTAATTTTTCAACTTTTCAGATTAGCAAAGACTTAAAAGACAAATAATATAAAGCTGGGAAAACAGTACATTCATAAACAACTGTAAAATAAATTGGTATGCCTTTCAAGTTACTGACAAATTTCTCTCTAAAAGTTAAATATAAAAACATTTATTATCTTTGACCCAATAACTTTCCATCTAGGCATTTATCCTGCATAAATATGTACACACATATTCAGAACATGTGCAAAGATGC